GTGGGCTGTGTGGTTTCAGTGTTACGTGCTCCATTTTCTCCCGTAATTGACTTGATGGAAGGAGCCCTCTGGTCAGGGAGTTGGCTAGGGAAGGAGACTTCAAATCGTTATGGGAATAAACGGGAGAATGGGTTTGAGTAACCATCTGGGGAGCGCTCAGGAATTTGAAAGTGTCTCTGGAAAGAACCTCTCAAGAAGTGATTTAGGCATTTGTCTCTGGAGTAGCATATCCTGTGCTGTTTAGGGGGCCTGTTCTTGAGAACTGGGAAAATTGGGAAGGATTTGATGATTCAGAGACTTAAAAACCTGCTTTAAACTGATACACCAAACAAATCCATTTACCTCACAGAAAAAAAGGCCGGGGGTGGTGTGCTGGGGCCGTGACTGTGCCGGGGAGCGCTCTCCCGGCAGCCGGTGTCCAGCAGTGTGGTGGGCAGATGGGCTCTACCTCCCGCCAGCCAGGCCTGGCAGTGCTGCAGCAATAAAATGCTAAAGGCCTTTTGTTTTTTTGATAGCAGGGCAAGTCCATCCAGTTAACACTGAAAAAGAACACCATTTTCTCCTTCCAGCAAGAGTCCTGTTACTTCTGTTTTTCTCGAAGGGCAGGGCCCCTTCGGGCTTCAAGAAACTAATACACCCTGTTATGGCAAGACTGGGTGTGTTTTTAAAATGAGTCAGCTATTCTGAGATAATGCTTACGTGGCTGACCTCACTCTACTAATGAATTACCTACTCCTAATAGAAAGTGCAGTAAACAATTCAAATGGTCTCATTCAAAGCTTTCTGATTCAGTACTAGGAAATGACATTATTACAGTTTCACCGTAGATAGGGGTGTCTGTGATCTCCTGTCTCTTCAAGCGCTTTCCTTTCAGCCATTCCGCTTCCTGCCCTTGTCTCCAGCTGAACCCTATGGCTGCCCGCTGCGAAAGTGGCACCAACAGGAACAAAGCCCTTTCAAGTGCCACCCGGTTGGAGGCAGGTGTTTCCTACCTGCCTTATGATGGCAATGATCAAAAATGGTGACTGAAAGCTGTCTTAAAAGTTAGCGGGTGCAACAAAGCTCAGCAGGAGGCGAAAGGGATTTTTAAATAGCTGAAAGAACATTTAACAGGCTGAGTAAGAAAGGTCTTGGGCTCCACTTGACGGCGTTTCTGTTGAGTAGGCACTTCTGAACACCACATCTCATCAGCCATGATTTCAGGAGGTGTGCTAGGGTTCGGCAGGCAGAACACTAGGGAACCCGGGAGGGGGAGGTAGGGGCGGGAAGGATAATTTTCTTTGCAGCTAGTTAACACTCCTGACAGCTACAAATATCTGAAATTGTTTAAAGATTTAAGAAGTTGATGGCAACTATCAGCAGCTAAGCAAGGGGGAGGGGGGGAAAAAAAAAGGGGAAGACAAACATTCTCTAGAAAGGGAGGGCTATATGGGACTCTGATATGTAGAAGAATGGACAAGCAGGGTGAACACTAACAGGGATTAGCTGTTTGCAATGAAAGTGCAGAAGTAGAAAAAAATAGTGTAGAAGTGTAGATGTGACAGACACGAGATGTTGAAAGGACAATGTCCTCAAGCCACAGAAGCATCCAAGCGTGCTAAAGTAGTATTTATTTTAAGGTTTCCTACTGAGTCAGTCTGTTTCTCTCTGGAATTACAGAAATAGAACTGGGCCATTTTATAATCCCTGAGGAATCACTTGGGATTCTTCAGGTCTACCCTCAGCATAGAGCTGCTACCTGTAGTGAAACATCTTCTTCCCCTCCGGTCACACCACCAAATAACATTTGGGCATGGGAGCCTGTGTGGGGGCCGTGCTCTTCTGCGGGTGTCACTGCCAAAGGTTTCCAGCCCACAGGCTGCCCTCTCCACTGCAGCCCGCTTTACCCCAGAAGCCAGCTGCTCTGGGGAATGCTGAAACGAGACGGTGAATAACAAGGCTGAGAGGCTTTTATCTACACTGCAGAGTTCCTGCTGGTGTGCTTACACTGGGATCATTCATTTTCCTGCTGGCATGGCTAATTTTCATCCTGGAATCGCATCGTTGTACTTCTGCTGGCGTGGCTGTATCTCTTCTGGAGCTGCTGCTTTGTTTTTCTGCTCGCACAGCCCCAGCAGCCGGAAGGTAAATAAATCCCTTGGCCATTAGCACTGAATAAGCGCGGTGTAAGGTGCCTTTCTGACCGGCAGGCTTGGCGAGGGACCCTTTTTGGCAGGGCTGCCGTTGGAACAGCAGCAGGTGTTGCGGTCTGCTCCCCCGCGGCGGTGGGGCTCAGCAGGGGCTGCAGGCTGATAAGGAACAGGCAAAGCAAAGGAGGTCCCGCTCAAATGGCTCGAGTTGGGTGAGTCAGGATTGAGGAAGTGCCACAGCTCACGTCGAGAAAGATTTTTCAATGCAATGAGTTCCTGCTGCCCATGATCCCCTGCACTCTCCACAAATTTCAACATCCTGCCTTAACGAGGGAAGTAGATGTAACTGAAAAAATAATCCCCCAAATCAAGCAGCTTCTGCTCCAAAGCTGAAATAGCTACTGAAAACATCCTGTTTTTTTCCACGAAGCTGTACTGGAAGTTAGGAAATAGCCCGGTGAGGATTGTGCAATCTGAGTTCAAAGCTCGATGACTCAGGGGTAGCAGCAGGCAGGGTGGAGCCTGCTGTAGGTTTTGTCCCAGTGTCTCAAGTCAGCGCGGAGGGAGCCTTGACTGTAGGTACAGTAACAAAGCAACCAGCAAATTGGTGAGGTGAGAAGCTACAAACAGGAAAAAAAAAAAAACAAAAACCTCAAATCCCAAGTATTGTTAATTATGAAAACAGTGCACTAATGCTTCAAAGTGTTATGCCTTCCCTTTGAAAGCCTGAGTGTTTCGTCTGTGTACTCCTCAGTCCAGCACCAAGTTTATACTCGGTGCTGAGAGGCCTCGTGAGGAGTGGCTTGTAATGAAAATGTGCTCACAGAGCCATTTAAGGGTTGAAAATTTACCTGCAGAAGGACCTGCGCCACTGGGCAGAAGGATGGCAGGTGAAATTTGGCACAGGCTCACAGTTTCCCAGGGGAAACCAATCCTAATTCCAGCTGTTCAGCAGCAGGCTATAAACCCAGGATTGCCGCGCAGGAGCAACATGTCAGGATTATTGTAACAACTCCATGACGTACCTGTCAGCTCTGTGGTTGGCAGGAGTCAAAAAAGTGTTAGGGAAGGATTAAAAAGAAGAAAACAGTGCCTGAACCCTGGCGCACCCGCACTTTGTCACGTGCAATTCCTGTGCCCAAAGGGCAACAAGGGCGCTCTGAGGCAAGGCACAGTTTCTGTGGGAGAAGTGGTTGAATAGGCTGGTATTCTGCACTGGGAACACAAAAGAATTGGTTCTTTGTGTGATTCTCTGCGTTGCAAGGCGTTGGGGATGCACGAAGGTGATAACGGGCTCCATGTAGGACTGGGCGAACATGTAGAGATCCATGTTGGGCTACCACTGATGCAAAATGGGATAGAACCAGGAGACAGCTAAGCCAGCGAGGGGGCAGCGGCTCTGGGACAAGGGGAGGGATGGCGGGTGCTGCTCCTCTTCTAGGTCTCCCCTGGGCATCCACTGACAGAGGCCAGAAAACAAGATGGGCCTTGGCCAACGGGCTCTTCTTCCCCAAGCCCTCTGCCAGCGCAGCTGCAGCAGCGCAGGCTGCAGAATCGCGCATTTACCTGCCTGAACAGTTATTAACCTGTCGCGGCCTGTTGTTGGTAATCAAGCTGGGAGTTTGTCAGCCGGTGTAAAATCATCCCCTGGCTGTGTGCCACCGTGTCTTTCCTCTGCAAGCAAGCCTCGAGTGAGGTCCAGTAAGCAGTCTGGCAAGGTATTTCCGTTCCGTGCCGCCCTCCCACTCTGCCAAGCTCGTTATGCGCAGGGTAGGACGCAGCACTGATTCACAGTTTGCAGAGCTCGCAAACGCTGTTTGCCCATCGCACTGCCCTAAGTTTGCATTCAGATTTCAGCCTGATTGCACTACCATGCTCGAGTGGTTTGAGTCAGCCCTTGTGAGCACCCACACGAGCTGATGAACGGGTAACGCCGCCGCCATGTTTCACCCAACCTGCCCAGATTTATCAAGCCACAGCCTTAAAGAAAGTACACATTTTTTTTTTATTCAGAGAATCACAATAAGCTACTGAGACTCACAGCTGCTTTCCCCGGCATAGTTTCCCAAACATTCGCATGCAACTTTTGAAAACATCAAGTACACTTCAAGAATTTGGAAGATGCACCATCATAAGCAAAACCTGCACGAGACATTGGGGTTTCTGCCAGAGCAGCAGCCCCCTGCGAGAAGAATAGGCAGGAGTGCAGCGAGCTGAGCAGGAAGCGATGGGGCTGGGCAGCGAACGCTGCGGTGCTCCGCTTTATTCGAGAACATTCTTAGGAACCTCCTGCAGAAGCAATTCAATATCATCCTGGATCTTGATGGTTTCGAAATGCCGGCTGTAGCGTTTGAAGGGCACGCCGTCGGGGCCGATGAGGAACTTCTCGAAGTTCCAGGAGATGTCGTTGCGGCAGACCGGGGACCAGATGATGTACTGAGGGTTGGTCATCAGCGAGGAGGGGTCGTCGTGCGGGAAGGGCAGCGCCTCTTTCAGGAAGGTGAAGAGAGGGTGCGCGTTCTTCCCGTTCACCTCGCACTTCTCGAACATGATGAAATTGGGCTTGTACCCGTTGCCGGGACGAACATACTCCAGCGAGAGCAGGATCTCCGCGCTCGTGGCGTTTTCCTAGGGAAACAAAACCAAAACCGCCCCGAGCAAGGCCCGTGAGAGCCCAGCCGGGACCGGCGGCTCCTCCCCGCTCCCCTGCCCCGAGCCCCCGGCCCCCCGGCGCGGCG